TATGAACGAGAGGGGCACGTGACCAGGGTTCATGAGTTCATGAATTAGGCTCACGATGCCACGAGCAAGGTCGAATTTTAAGAGCCATCGAGCACCACCATTTACGCCATTCAAACCTATCGGGGAATCTCATCTTTGGATTATTCATGAAGACGGAGCAGGTTTCAGGGACGAAAACAAAAATTTCTTGCTTCGTTCCATCTTTCCTCGACGTTTCAACGTTTCACAGCTGAATCTTCCTTTACTCGTGAAAGATAAACGGAGAAGAGAAGAATGTTAGTTCTAATTCTTTAATGCAACAGGAGTAAAAGTAGTGAGTTGTTAGAAGAAAAAAAATTACACAAAGGTGAAGGAAACAGTATCGACAATATTCTTGTGAAATGAAAGTTACGACGAGGAGGATTTTCTATCGAGAAGATTTTAGAGTGACATCTAATTCGATGGCCGAATATGAGAACGTAAAATTAAAGGGTTGTTCCGGTTGTCGCGTGAAACAGAACGGCTGGTGAATTATCGCGAAAGCAGATGCAGCCACGCCGGAAGTCGAGAGGTGGCTGAATGAAACACACGGACGCGTATCGAACCTGCGCATTCCGTATTGCGCGACATGCATTGCTCGCCCATTTTACTTGGAGGGGGGGAGAGGAGGGGGACGGGTATATACATGTTTATACAGCGTGCTCGATGAAAAGCGTACTCGCGACATTTTCCATTCTTTTGCATATCTCAACGAACGTTCAACAACGGTATTTGCCATTGTAATAACGCAGTGATAACGATGTGAATCGTTACGAAGAACTGTATCGAGCAATTTTCGTTAGATAATGTTGGACATTAAAAGCTTTGATGAAAATTTTTGATACAATTTCCTCTATTCAACTTCATATTTGTTTGTTGCTCTTAAACAAACTTGAAATTTTCCTATATTTATCTATATTTTTTAGTCTTAAACAATCTTGAAATTTTCCTACATTTATCTATACTTTTCAGTCTTAAACAACTTTGAAATTTTCCTATATTTATCTGTATTTTTTAGTCTTAAACAACCCTGAAATTTTCCTATATTTTTTAGTCACGAACAACTTTGAAATTTTCCTATATTCAACTATATTTTTTACTCTCAAACAAAATTTTCCTATATTTATCTACACTTTTTAGTTTCAAACAATCTTGAAATTTTCCTATGTTTATCTACACTTTTTAATCTTAAACAACCTTGAAATTTTCCTATATTTTCTAGTCATGAATAGCCTTGAAATTTTCCTATATTTTCTAGTCATGAATAGCCTTGAAATTTTTCTATATTCAACTATACTTTTTAGTCATGAACAACCTTGAAATTTTCCTATATTTATTTACACTTTTTAGTCTTAAACAACCTTGAAATTTTCCTACATTTATCTACACTTTTTAGTCTTAAACAACTTTAAAATTTTCCTATATTTTTTAGTCATGAACAACCTTGAAATTTTCCTATATTTACCTACATTTTTTTAGCCTTAAACAACCTTAAAATTTTCCTATATTTTTTAGTCATGAACAACCTTGAAATTTTGCTATATTCAACTATATTTTTTAGTCTTAAACAAAATTTTCCTATATTTATCTACATTTTCTAGTCTTGAACCACCTTGAAATTTTCATTTCCAATATATCAGGATATCGTGTCTCTTTTATTTCTGTCGCCAAGGCAGTCATCAGTGGCCGATGCGTTTGTAATTGAGATTGTATGTTGTATATATGCATACATGTTAGCAATTTGTGTTCCCCTCTCTGTCTTTCGGCACAAATGCTATTGAATATTCATGTCGATGACAGTTATAGAAAATGTTGGATATTTGAAAATTTTTATTCTTGAAATATCAGCGAGCCCAGACGGGGATTTGGAAAGTTGAATATTCATCGGACAAAGCGGAAAACGTTTGGCCGGCTCTATTCGAGAATTCAGATAATTGAAATCTCAGCGAGTAGTTTGAATACACGAATGTCGGAGGATTTTGGTAGTTAAAACTCTTTTTTATATTAATAATAGCCTGTTATACTGTTCATCATTGTTAGAACAGTGTCGAACAAGTACAATTTTAAAATAACACTTGTTATATAAAAATCATATTCTATTATTTCTCTTGTCAGATATATCCTTTTCTGTCGTTTGCCTTTCAAACTTTCTGTTGATAATTTCAACATCTAAAAAAAAAAAAAGAAACTCAAAGAACACGTTCCGTAAAAATCTTCGTTAATAACGAGATAATAATCAATTCATTATTGTTTGAAACAACGTCAAACAAGAGCGATTTTCAGTCAGTAGAACAACATCGAAACAAGTAACACCACAGTAAACTGATGTGCTCAATTATAATATTTCTCTATTTGTCAGACGTAACTTCACTTTGTAGAATTCTGATATATTCTTTTTCTGTCACTTCTGCCTTCTGAACTTTCTCTTGGCCAACACTGTAACTTCGATCACCTTCTCCCGAGTGATTTCAACATCCTCCGAGCTCATCGATTTTCTCTTAGAGAAAAGGGGGAAAAAACTCAAACTCAAAGAGCATCCATAAATCGTAAAAATCTCCGTCGGAGGTTCAATTAAAATGGCCGAAGCTACCGATTCAAAAGGGGGTTACGACATTGAATGTTGAATATTTTTGTTGATGAGCAGGCAGCACCTCGCCCTGGTTTTTACGATTCAATAAATTTTATTTGATCGGAACGTAACACGGACAAAAGGAGCAACGATCGTATCTCGCGCGTTTCGTTGCGTTGCCGATACGATGGTTTCTTTCGTGCGAGAACCGCGCTCGGTAGAACACTAAAAACGGAAATAACGTTTTATTGGTGGGCGACTAAAGAAGTTTCGTGAAGAAGAAGAAGAAAAATATGGGAAGAGAGAACCGTATGATTTTTCTTCGAATTACAGAAACCAGACGATTAACGACTGGCCAATGCAACAATATTACCAACTGGAAATTTATAAACCTAACACAAAGCGAGTGGGGGGGGGGGGGGGAAGGAGGAGGTCGAGAATGAAGGAGAAAGAGTACTTTTGGAGTAATTCGTGAAAGCGTGATTACGCTCGTTGATGTTACTCTTCCAGTTATTCGATTTTTTGATTTTTAAAAGATCAACGTGTCACAGAATTACCAATTATTGAAATCGAGACTTCGAACGTTCAAAGACTCATTCATCTCATAAATTTCGAATTCTACGTCTGAGCAAACTTTTGAGCAAAATGCGCTCGTTTCTAGGCTTGAAGGTTAGTGGATGAAAATAAACTAAATTTGAGAGATTATTTACAAGTGCTAATAATTACAAATATTACAATTAAATTTTTAATTATAAATATAAATAATAATATATTATATTATATAAATAATATTTATAATAAATTTATAACAAATTATAAATTATTAATAATTTATCATGATTAAATATACGTAGTATTTCAATGTAATTTTTCATAGACAATTTTTTTCGTCGAGACCAAATGCAAAGTAAGTATAATACTGAGGATAGGTTTGAAAGGGTTAGACAGTTTTTGCGAGAGCGGAAACCTCTCTTGTGATTGGATTGTTCGTGGCCACACGCGTCGCGTTGCGGTTCTCCGGCACGTTGGCACGATCTCTTTGAAAGATATAGGGAACTGCGAAGGGGATACAAATAACATCACTTTCCTGTTGGAATTTCTTGCTGTCACATTGTCACGCCATTCGGCCACATAAATCACACCGCGATATCCTAAACGATATCGTTATCGACGTTGTTGCTGTTCTTGTTGCAAAGTGATCGTTATTAAAATTCTATCATCATACATGTTCGGCAACTCGCTTCTTATTTCTCGTCAATTTAATTAAAGCATTAAAAAACGAAGAATCGAAGATTTTTATTATTATTATTATTATTGTTGTTATTATTACCACGACAAACGTTCGAGAGAGCACGGATTAACCACTTGCGCTGGCAACTGATAGCGGACCATAACGAGTGACCAAAGCCGTATACAACAAATCGTCGCTTTCTTTTTGAACTCGTTAGCATGATATCACTGGATAGAAATTATTGACAAGTAATAAATCTATTATTTGCTCTGCCAATTTTGTTCTACTTCAATATACTTAGAACTGAGAAAGAAATTACAATTTTGGGACAAAAAATTCTCGACGTGCGTGGCACGTCATTCCAGCACAAGAGGTTAACCACTTGCGCTAGTAACCGATTGCGGACCATAACGAGTGACCAAAGCCGTATACAATAAATCGTCGCTTCCTTTTTGAACTCGTCGGCGTGATATCACTGGATAGAAATTATTGACAAGTGATAAATTTATTATTTGCTCTGCCTATTTTGTTTTACTTAAATATACTTATTATTAAAGAAAATATTATAATTATTTTTTTTTATTGGACAAACATAAAATATTCCTTTATAAAAACGAAAATTTTGAATTCCATTTATATAATGAATAAATCTTCCTACACATATAAATATTATTGATTTAAATAAAGCATGAATAAATAAATGAAGAAATGCTAAATTATTTAATTCTAAACATAAAATTGTTAATGTAAATCCTAATTGACTTAATGTAGAAAGAGTAATAATTTTTTAAAAATCTATTTCAAAATTAGCTTAGAACTGAGAAAATGTTGCAATTCTGGGGCAAAAAATTCTCGACGTGCGTGGCAAGAGGTTAAAAGCGAGGGCTCAAGAGTTAATGGATTCGGGAAACGGATGGGAGAACTTGTAATTTTATAATTTGTAACTTTGATCGATTTCATTTGGAAACCAGAAGTACCAAACAGAAATTCGTAACATCGCCTTCGTATTTTTAAGACAATTTGAAAATCTTTCCGAGGCGAAAAGACAAAAAGAAAAACAGACGAGGACAGAGAAAAGTAAAGCGCGAGAGATACGAACGAGTAAACTCGAGGAGAGAAGATGCTACATACGTAGCTACTACGTATACGCGTATGTTCACAGCGTGTTTGCTTTGAATGCAGGTATCGGGCAATTTCAACAAAGAACGGAGCCACGGCATCCTGCTGTCTATTGGCCAGGTCTTCAGGGATTAGTCAGTGATCCCCTGGGATGGCGAGCAAGACTACACACACGTGAGTGTTCCTTTTCTCTCTCTCGATATATATATATATATATATATATATATATATATATATTTCGCTACGTGGCAAATGTATGCAACGTATTACACAGAACAGAGATTGTTCACGACGTTTTGCAAATAAGAAAGAATTTCGTAACGCGAGAGAGTTTCGTATTCGTATTACACGGTGGATGAAATATGTCCAGTTGAACGTAATTCCGTGAAAACAGACTTCTTTGAGAAATGAGATAGTTTTTCTTCTTTTTCTTTTTTTTTTTTTTAGACGGATTAATATCACGCGTGAATTGAAATCTTGGAATATTCTTCAGTCTCCTTCTTCCGTTAACTTTACAGAGTTTTACTTTCACTCGATCGATGAAACATCTTTCAAATTTTTTTTCAAGCGAATCCTCCAACATCCTAAAATTTCAATCATTATTTCTCGACCTCCGCTTACGAGGCCAATACATGAAAACTGGTGTAACGTGAAATACAGCCTAATAAAAGTGGTTCCATGACCATTCTAATTCTATAGATATATATATAAAACACTTAAGTACCGATATATACCGCCGCAGGAGAGATGATTGGTTGGCGTTAAATTTCAGGCCATCGTCACAATTCGTTCGTCTTCAATTTTTTTCTCTTTGCTTCACTTTTTACGGATAAAAAAACCTGTTTTCTTAGATCTGTGAAACGGTGTGTTCAGCGTGGCCCGATGACACGTGTTTCTTCGCTTCGGTCAACCGATTTCCTCGCCGCAAAAGCAAACACAAGAACAGCTGTCAAATCTGTACTAATATCGCTCTCGAAACGAAATATCCTGTGGGCAGAGAAATCTATCTATCCCCTCGCCGGGAATCAATGTTTTGAATCCAATCTTTTTCAAACTTCAACCACCTCGTTCCTGCCTTTTTTTTTCCTCCTCTCCTACGTTTTCCTGTTTTTCTAAGTCGACGGTGTCTTTATCTACGGTGTTCTTCGGTTCAACGTATGATTTCTATATTTCTTAAAAGCGAGAGTTTTCATACCTCTTAAAAACAAAGTAATTTACTTCCAACATTTGCAAGAGCGTCGCGATTGATTAACTTGGAAGATACAGCTTCTAGAAAATTAATAATTAATCAATTGAAAATTGAAATGATTGAAAAATCAGAAAATCTACAGTCGTGAGATATATTAATCCATCCGAAAAATAATGATTCTAACTATAAAAAAATAATACTCCCTTCGCCAAAATGAAAATTTCTGATTTCTGTTGTTATAGATAAATATTAATTATCTTATGACTATTCTTCATCTAACTTGACTAGATTTTTCAAGGCCTTTTTCGAATAAAAATCGCCTGATTTACTGGCGGAACATTCTACAAGTACTGAAGGATTTCCCCCTGAGAAAAGTTTCCTCAAATCAGCAGAATATGGCGATTAAGCAAACAATTACACAGTGCTCTTCGCGTACCCATACTCCTTGCCTGTACACTTTTCCTTTTCAACAGAGATGTTCCTGCATGGACTAGGAAAAACCTGTTCGCTAAATCCTAAACAGTTTGACGAGGATCAAAAATTGGTACATTTTCGACACTCGGACATTTCAAAGTTTTATATTTTGAAGAATTTGAATGTACACTGAAAATTAGATTGGTTGCTGCTCTCCGTAGCATTGAAACTCGTAAAAAAGCGTAAGATGTTCAACATGTTCTTCGGCAAGGTGTTTCACATTTTACTCGACAAAACTTGAGTAGAAACTGACTAACAAATTGTACACACCTTAAATTTGAAAGCAATATCCCAAGTTAATCTACAGATATTTCGAAAAGAAGTTGCACATCCGGTACACCTAATTTTAAAATCTATGACACGATAATGTGTCACGTGACAGTGTGTTTAACTCTGCTTTTCGATCCAATCGTATCTTTTTCATTTTTAACAAATTACTTTTCCTTTTGTGAAACAATTCTCGATATTCAAAGACTTTCATCTTTTTTCGTGAAAGAATTCTCAATACTCGAAGACGCCAAACTCTTCAATAACGACGAAATTTATCACCATCCCTTTGCACCTTCACTTTCACCCCCCCATGAAGATCGCTTCTCTCGCGAAACGTCCAATCGAAGGACAAATTCTCCGTAAGCCGAAGGCCACAGAGCGATTTGTAAAAGCGATTAAGGGTGGCCGCAGAAAAAAAAAAAGAAAAAAGAAAAGGAAAGAAAGGAGCGGAAAAATCAGAAACGCAAAGTGAAAGAACACGTGACGTCGGTGGAAAGAGAGAGCATCCCCTTTCCAGAGCATACATCAAGGCCCGCCGGTGGCACATGTGCCAGCCACGCACGCACACCACCCAAACCAAAAACCCGCCTCTGTTTTGAGGGGATGAAACCATCCTACGAGTAGAAGAAGATCCAAGCGAGAGTTAAAGCACCCTACACACGAACGAGACTTATTTCCTAATTCGCGGACCAAAGGATCTGAAATTTCTGTCAGAAACGTTGAAGTTCTGCTACAACTATCGATGAAACTATTCAAAAAAAAATTTTGAACCAAGGATCTTCGGACTATGTGACGAGACTGCGAATAAAGAAGAAAATTGTTTGATGTCAAAAGAACCTCGAAACGCTTAACGAACGTAAATACTTAACAAGTACAGATATTCTATAACTTCATTAAGAAGAAAAAAGTAAACAATTTCACCAGAATTGCTTCACAAAAAGAAAAACAATTTTAAACAAAACTGAGATTTTTTTCGAACGTATCACAATTATTTCAAAGAAAGAATTTGACAAGTTATTAGTACTGTATATCAGAATGTACCTAATTAAGAAGTATTGCAATAACTTCACCACGCATCACAATTGTTTCACATAAAAAAAAGAACTTTAATAACTTTTAATTAACATTTTGTCACTGAGATCCGCTTGGCATCCGACTCAACACCAAGGTAAAATCATAAATTTTCCGCAAGAATTTGTTCGACTTCAACCACTTGCGCTGGCAACTGATTGCGGACCATAACGAGTGACCAAATCGTACACAATAATTCGTCGGTACGATATCACTGGATAGAAATTATTGAGAAATAATTTATTATTTGCTTGGGTATTATTTACCTGGGTTATACTTAAATATACTTAGAACTGAGAAGATAGTGCAAGAGGTTAACTTGCGCTGGCAACTGATTGCGGACCATAACGAGTGACCAAACCGTACACAATAATTCGTCGCTTTCCTTTCGAACTCGTCAGTGCAATATCACTGGACAGAAATTATTGACAAGTAAATTTATTATTTGCTCTGCCTATTCTGTTTTTACTTAAATATACTTAAAACTGAGAAAATATTACAATTGGAACAAAATATTGTCGACGCACGTAGACACGTCATTGCAGCGCAAGAGGTTAACGACAACTGATTGCTGACCATAACGAGTGACCAAACCGTACACAATAATTCGTCGCTTTCCTTTCGAACTCGGTACGATATCACTGGATAGAAATTATTGACAAGTAATAAATTTATTATTTGCTCTGCCTATTCTGTTTTTACTTAAATATACTTAAAACTGAGAAAATATTGCAATTTTGGAACAAAAAAATTCTCGACGTGCGTGAACACGTCATTCCAGCGCAAGAGGTTAACCACTTGCGCTGGCAACTGATTGCGGACCATAACGAGTGACCGAAACCGTACACAATAATTCGTCGCTTTCGAGCTCATCGGTACGACATCACTGGACAGAAATTATTGAGAAATAATAAATTTATTATTTCCTCTATTATCTTCCTATTTTGTTTTACTTAAATATACTTAGAACTGAGAAAATATTGCAATTTTAAAACATTAAAAATGTTCGACGTGCGTGGCACTGGACCTGCGTTTGAAGCACCCTGTAGCACGACTCGCTAAACAACGTCTCACCGTGTGCACGGCACTTAATCCATCGAAACTAGATGCTAAAGGGGGTGTGCGCGTGTAGTAGCGAGAAGGGTGACGAGACAGAGGATACCGGGGATGTAAGTATGTACGTAGGAACGCGTGGATGGGCGTGGACGAGGAACCGACGAGGCGCGGCGCGTGTGTTGTTCCAGCGTGTCGTGTCGGCCACGGATGTCACTGCGGGACGAATATAAGAGGGTATACGGCGGTGGTCCGCCTCGGTATCCGGAATATCATATTCAATATCAACCCTCGTATCCCGAGGCGAGGCCGAGCCCCTGCTTTCCGCACTCACGTGAATAACTCTGGCAATATTTTAACTGCATGGCGTATTCTGCGGTGTATTCCGCGTTTCTTTCTCTTCCCTTTTCTATCGTTTTTCCTCCAATCGCTCTCACCCTCCCTCCCTCCCTCCCTCCCTCTCTCTCTCTCTTTCTCTCTTTTACTTGTGTTTCGCCATTCTTTTCGCTGGCTTGAGTTACGAGCGGAGATACAGAGGTATCGTAGCGTGTCGATACCCGCGTGCTTTATATTCCGGGCTGTTAAGGTCGATCTCAGTTGGCGCGGACTGTTCGAGAGCTGCTCCTTCAACGACCGTCACGGGACACCATGGGAGTTGGAGGTTCCATCTTTCTATTAAATACCCGAACCTTCCTTCGACCGCCCAATTGGCTCGATGATGGAATTGCTTGGCGGGAGATAGATGTTAAAGACTGAGATGAATATTTTCAGGAGAGGGGAGTTAGGTTGAAGTTGGACGTTGTTGAGAGAGCGAGAAATTCAAGGACGGACAGTTAGCACGAAATACAGCAAACACGAGCAATACTGAATCGAGCATGTGGAACTTTAGCACGAGGAGCAATATTTTATCGAGTGTTCGCGCGTAATGTACGAAGAAAGCAAAGTAGAATGTTTCAGCATTCTCAGAAAAATTTTACCGACCTCGCTATTCTGGTGAATATAAGCTGTTTCTCCACCACGATTGATTTAAATGGAAAATCATCGACGCTTCAAACTGTTAGAATTTTGTAAAAAAGAGAAAAAGCAATCGTATAAGAATGAAGAGTCAAAACGAGTGAAAGTTTTCAATTCGATAGCACAGAAATTCGTTTCTTTTTTCTTGAGATATTAGTACCATAGCAAATAGTTATTTTCTTTAAAAAAAATATTTTATTAAACTTTGAACATTGGGGTGAAGAAATTCTAACCTTAACATTCAAAAATGGGACAAAATGATTATAAAAATAACGAATAAAGAGATTA